ATGACGTGATGAAAAAGGCTGATGCATTAAAAAAAATAATAAAGCTCACTTGGACAGCATCAGTGATCGCATTCTGAATTTTCCACATTCCAATTTCTTTATGCTTTAGTTCCTCTAAATTAGTGTCAGCTCCTAGGCCCTTTTCCTCTTAAGCTGATTCTAGTCTTTTTTTTCCAGCCCACTCACTACCAGATCCCTAGCCTCCACTGCTCCTATGAGACCAATTCCAGTCCCTACTTGCTGCTCCAGCCCGTGCGGAAGGAGGTCATCCACCTAGAGCCCTATGTTGTTCTCTACCATGACTTCGTCAGTGACTTGGAAGCTCAGAAAATTAGAGGGCTTGCAGAACCGTGGGTGAGTGTCTCCAAAGCCCACCCAGAACTATCCTTTGTGCCTGGAGTTCAGGAGTGTGAGAACGGGCAGACTGAACAACTAGACACTTTATCAGTCCAGAAGCTCAAAATGGCAACCATTCCATAAAACTAATCAGTAGTGAAAAAATATCACAGTAGTGGTTGTCTCTGGAGAGAGTGAATTGATTAGAAAGGGTACAAGGGGATTTTCCAGGGTGGTGAAATGTGCTCTCAATATCTTGTTAGAGATGTGGAGTACATGGCTAATGTATGTATTTTTGTCAAAACTCAGCAAATGGTACACTTGAGTTCTGTGTATATCATTGTATGTAAATTTAACCTAAAATAAGAAGGTATTCCCCTAAAATGTCCCTCACTCCATGTAATTAATTGGTAGAAGAAAAAAAAAGGGTGAAATGACAGGGGCAAGAGTGATATCCTGGTCTAGATTTACAGAATTACAGAGTGGAAAGATTACCTAGTTCAACTGTTAAAGAGGGGACTGAGTCCCAGAGAGGGGGAGAGACTCGATGAAGGTACACGTGTAGCTAGAGCCAGAGCAAGAACTCAGAGGTACACTGATTGCTGCTCTGCTAGTCTACCTGTTTGTATCAGTTATCTTAGGCTAAATTATGTTTGGTAATGAGCATACCTCAAATCTCCAGGACGACAAAACAAGTTTGCTTCTTTCTCACATTATATGTCTGTCTTGGGCTGGCTGCAGCTCTGCCCTACACTGTCTTCACTCTGGGACCCAGGCTGACAGAGCAGCCTCTGTTTGCGACATCACCATCTCCTGGCTCTTAAAGCTTCCACTTGGAAGTGCCAGATATTACTTCTGTCCACATTTCATTGATTAAAGCAGAGCGTGTGGCTACTATTGTAGTCAAGAGGGAAAGAATATCTAATTCTCCCGCAGGGAAGGCACTGCAAGTCACTGTGCCATGCTTGATGTTGATTGTAGGGGACGTTTTATTGTCCCCCAGGAAGTGTGGCAGATATTTAGAAAAAAAATACAGCCCACCCCACCACTATAACATGTTTATTGCCTCTTTACAAATGGCGCATTAAGACTGTCTCAGAATTACTCATGTCATTGTGCCCTTCGTGGTGTGCTGTTCATCAGGCAGCCATTTAGTCATTCATCAAGAGAACAGAGCCTGCTGTATGCCAGACACTGTGCTGGGTGCTGGGCTTCTACAAAAAGATTTAGTATTGGTCCTTGCCTTTAGGAGCTTACTGCATAATGGGGAAAAACAGATATTTACAATACCCTGTGTACATATTCTCATGGAGATGTGTGCAGGGAGTGGCACTATGGCAGCAGATAAAGGTGAGTCTTCCCCCTGAGGAGCAGATGGGGAAAGAAGAAGAAACAGAGAAGGCTTCCCCGTGGACGTGAAATTCATCGAAATGACAAGGTGGCAAAGGGTATTCGAAGCAGACAAAACAATCTGTGCAAGAGCCTGAGATGCAGTGTGCTCAGAGAATGCGGGAAGCTTGGTGGCTGGAGTGGTAGGAGGTGAGGCTCCATGGTGAGAGGTCATTAGGAAGCGCTGTGAATACCAAGCTGAGAAGTTTGGATTTTATCCCGTAGGTAGAGGGCGAGTTGTCAGACAGTTTTAAACAGGAGAGTGGTAAAATCAGATCTGCAGATTTCAAGGAAGTAGACATGGACCAGTGGAAGAAGAGTGGCAATAATCATTTCATCTAAAAACCTGTGCACTGAAGTCTGGAATCTTTGTAGAGAAGGTTTTTGAGACAATTAAGCTCCACTGGGGCATTGGAACAATGTATTTTCAATAGTTTCGGCTTCTCAGTGAGTCAGTGGGATCACTGGGCCAGTAGCTACTTTTTCCCTAGAATAACTTTGTTGCCATGGTAATAGGACATGCAGCCCACCTGGAGACATTCATTTAATTCCTCATGGCCACGTCATTTATTTGGCGTGCACAGACCTTGCCACACTCCCTTCCCCCAGAAGTGTCTTGCTGGAGTGGCTGATCCCTGTTTGGGTTTTTGGCTCTGCCGGAAATAAGCCCTGGATTACGTGGTGGTTGGCTGCCCCATAGGAGCTGAGCTCAGATGCTTCATTGGCTTATATTGAATTTATCTGCTTCCTATTCACTGTCCTTTTTCCAAAGAATGCTCTCTTGTCACTTCTTCCCCATCTACATCCTATATATTCTTAAAGACTCAGTTGAAACCCCAAGCCTCCTTCGGCCCACTAGCCCTGACCACTCTGGCCCACTTTCATTGGTTCTTTCAGTAGGAACCTTTTTTCAGAGCACTTTTTGGGGGCCACATCCAAAATAACCTTTTCTTCCTCTGAACTCAAAGCTTTTGTCACCGGTTGTTTGGTACTTTCATTTATTCTGTTAGTGTCTAGTATCACTAACAATTTCATGGACAAGCATCCTGAATCCCCAACTAGACTGTAAACTAGCCAGAATTATATGTTGTCTTTCTTGAAATGCCTTGCCCTGTGTTATGCCCTTTGCGGCCAGAGTAATCTTTAAAAGGTCAAATCCGACCATGTCAAGCCCTTGCTTAAACTATTTAATGGGTCACTTTTGCTCTTGAATGATGACAAAGCTCCTTGGCCTGGCTACTGCCAACCCCTTCTGTAGCATTGTCCCCCTTGCACTCAATACCCCAGCTGCACTGAACAACTGGCATCTCCGTGAACTAGCCTCCACACACACTCTTCTCTCTGCCTGAAATGCTCTTCCTTTGGCCTCTTTTCGCCTGCGTGATTCCACTTGTCTTTCGGGCATTCTAGGAAGCCTTCCTGTCTCTTATAAGGATGGACTAGATGCTCCTTCTCAGTATTTCCACAGCATCCTTGTACATCCCCACTGCAAGACTCATATCTGGTTTCATATGTTATATTTCCAATACCTAGCACAGTGCTTTGTACAGAGAACAACCAATAAATATGTCCCCCGAAATGAATGACTTGTAGATGTACAGTAAATAATTGTTAAAGGAATTAAGTACAAGGTGTCTCTTTAATAGGGAAAGGGGAGCAGAGATTCCCTAGGATTTTTTTTAAACCACTGATAGTTGCCTAAAAGAACAAGAGGGGGCATCTCCCCTCTATGAATCTCTCCTCTCTCCTCTATGAACGACTCAGAAGAGGATGCTGGTGAAGGATTAGAGAGAGGAAATATCAGTCACTGATTTTCTGCATCCTGATATTGTAGAGTGATAGGAACTCCTAAGAAGGTGTTTTTCATGTACTTCATTTTGTAGTTGGAGAAATAGGTCTAAGGAAAGGAAGAGGCTTTTCCAAGGGCATCTATCTGGTTTAGAAGCAGGAACATTAACATTATAGAAGCCTCCGGAAAGGGAAAGTGTTTTTGTCTCGTGCAGTTCTTGCCCTGTGCTCTGTTCTGACAGTGTGCGAAGTGGCAGGGCTGGATCTGTAGGCACAAGACTCTGGGTCATCCATTCATTTGCTCGTTTCCTCAGTATTGAGCATCCACTCCCTGCCAGGCCTTCTCTGGGCCCTGGGGATATAGCACTGACAAAAATCCAAGTCCTTGCTCTCATGGAGTGACATTCTGATGACAGCCACAGAAGTAGACACATCATTGTGAAAATAAATAGTATTTCTCTTTCTATCCCTGGTACAGTGCTTTTATAATTAGAAGCCACTTTATTTAAAAATAATGCAAATTTTATGTCCAGACATTCAGAACAAAATAAAAACATTCGGTTAAATTAGTGGCTTCATACCCGTTTGGTCCTCTCCCTCCGCGACAGCAAGGCAGTTGCAGCAGGGAAGATTTTGATTCTCCGTAAGGAAGGGCTTTTGTTAGACATGTTCAGGGGGAGTAGGCTGCCTCTGAGGGTAGAGAGTTTCCTGTTGTGGGAGGTGTTCATTTAATTCAACAAACTAAGTGCTTACTATCGGGCAGGTTCTGTGACAGACACTGGGATACGAAGATGAATGAGAAACAGAACTCGCAGTCTTGCAGATGCAGAAGGATTCAAATATCACTTTGTTTCAGTTCAGCAGACTTTTATTGAGCGCTTACGGTCTATCAGACTCAATGCTAAAGTTTATTTTCAGCTTTAAGATATTTCGTCACTTCTTTTTTTTTTTTCAAGATCCATAGTTATCACTAAATTAGTACCATGTGCAAAATATCCTTTAATTAGGGACAAACTGGTGATTGTTAGGTTTATGCTTAAAGAGGGGCATGTCTATAGAAATGACAGAGCCCTTCCTTTCACATCATAACCACTTGGACTTTCTCTTACGTCCTTCCCACCAGCTTCAGAGATCCGTGGTGGCGTCAGGCGAAAAGCAGTTACCAGTGGAGTACCGCATCAGCAAAAGGTAAGGGGATCCTTCCTCTGTGGGAGCTCCGGCCATAACTGCAGCCTGCCCTCCAGCCAGTGGCGCAGCTGACTGAAGGTCAGCAACAGCCATTCAGGTGCCATCAGAGATGCTGCTGGAGAACGTGTAGTTCCTGTTTCTATCTACATTCTTGTTGAGAGGGAGATATTTCCACTCCTTTCACCCAAGGACTTAACTAGGAGGCCATTAGAAAAAGACTTGAAAAAGGTCCTATGTCCTAAACCAAAAAAATAAGTGTGTAGTGGTTCTCTTAAACAGGATTGCTTTTCCAGAGAATATAGTCTAGTACCCATTTGTCATTCAACTTTACAAGACTCCATTCCCACCTCCTGACTCATATTCAAAGCGTGACTTGCCAACATTCAGGCAAGAAAGATGACTAGAATCTCTGGACGTGATGGCTTCTCTCTGGAGAGGCAGATTCAGCTGTGAGAGCCCAACTTTATCCTCTCCCCTCCATCCCAGACAGAGGCTGCTCTGTCAGGCTGGTCCCAGAATGAAGATAGTGTGGGGCAGAGCTTGTCTTTTTCCTCTTTGTATCACAGTGTCTGTTGCTTTGAACCTTCACTCTTCACAGCATCTAACACAGGGCCTGGCATTCAGTAGGCCTCAGAAAATGATTATTGAATGAATGAATGTGTGAATGTTGAGATAGAGCACAAAATGGACTGGGCAGATTTAGCATAGGAGTAGGTAATTAGGCATGGATGTCTGTCTTCCTGTCCTCCCTCCCTCCCGTCCACCTTTTCTCTCTTCTTTCTTTTCTTTTCCTTCCTCTAGCAATTGACATCATTCATTCATTCATTCATAGACATTTAGTCATTTAGGTCATCAGATTAATAATGCTCCAACCTATGATGTGTTTTAGTGCCTGGCTGAAGGACACTGCTGACCCCATGCTGGTGACCCTCGACCATCGCATTGCTGCCCTCACAGGCCTTGATGTCCAGCCTCCCTATGCAGAGTATCTCCAGGTGGTGAACTATGGCATTGGAGGGCACTACGAGCCTCACTTTGATCATGCTACGGTAACTATGGGGTCAGTGGCCAGTATCTTGAGGTGGAGAACCTGAGTATTATTTATTTCTCTGAGACAGAACTCTTGTAGGGATCCCCGGGAATACTAAGTGAAATCTTAGAATAAAGGTGCTTGTTCCAGAAAGATCTGAAAGCCTTGGTTTCAAGCTGATTGCTGCTGACTCATTTTCTTGTCTGCCACCATCCCCCTCCCTGTAATTTACTAGTGGGGAGGAGAATGTGGCTTGTCATGGAGTCTTCTGTCGAGTCTTACTCAGGGGCTTCCCAGTGAAGTTTATCCTTCCTCCAGTTGCTCTCCTTATGCACAAGTTTTACAATTCTATTTATATGAGATTTCTAGAAAAGGCAAAACTATAGAGACAGGAAATAAATCTGTGGTTGCCTGGGATTGGGGGTGGGAATGGGGGTTGACTGCTAACTGACATGAAAGAACTTTTTCAGCTGATGGAAGTGTTCTAAAATTGGATTGGTTACAGAACTGTTAAAATTTACTAAAACTCATTGAACAATGTATTTACAATGGGTGAATTTTATCATATATAAATTATATTTTAATTAATTAAACTGTCTGTGACCCAAAAAAAGGGGGGCGTCTCTTCAACAAATAATTGGGAACTCCAGTCTTATTACTTGGTATTCCTATATGATGACTATCTGTAATATTTTATATATTAATTTCTTTATTTCACCAAGAACCTGAAGGTGCCATTAACCCTTTATATAGTACTTTCACTATTGGCAAGCAATTCATTAGTATGCAGTTCACTTATATGAATGTCTAATAAATTAGTAAAAGAAAAAAAAAGTATATTGGGTACCCGCCAGCACAGATGGGATCAAACTCGACTAGGTGTATACAGCTCAAGGCTATATCCCATCTGTGACCCCCAATTTTCTCCTCCTTGTATTGTGATAGACTCCTGGCTGTCACTCTGGTGCCAACTGCATAAAATAATATGTTTTATTTTTGTCTCAGTCACCAAGCAGCCCACTGTACAGAATGAAGTCTGGGAACCGGGTTGCAACATTTATGATCTATGTGAGTCTTGCTCTGAATCAGGGCTTCTTACTTGATGACGATTTATGTCTCTCTTTTATTTGGTGTTTGGCCTTTAGTGGTCATTCTGAGCATTCTGATCAGGCACAGAGGGATAGTGGAAATGAGATCTCAGGAAAGGGGACACGTCTTGGATCCACAGCTGGTTGCATCTCTGGTTGATGACTCAAGCTGGCATGGAAGGTCACAGGCAGTGAAGAATATTGATATCAACCAAAAAATAGGACATCTTGGGGCCAATATCTCTCTGTTTTTTTATCCTCCCAATATCTTCTACAGCTGTTTCCCTGGTTACAGAGGCCCAGTTACTATGGTAAAGGTAGCCTAGCAATTTTAAATGGCAAATGCAAGTGTGTGTGTGTGTGTGTGTGTGTGTGTGTGTGTGTGCGCGCGCGCACGCGCATGTGGGTTTTAAGTATTTGAGACACTGTAATGGAATGCACTTTGGGTTAAGAGTCAGTTGGCCTCATTCTGGTTCTTCCACTTAAGATGTGGCCTCAGCACAAATCATGTCTATTCTTTGAACTAGTTTTCTTGTCCAGTGCCTCCTCATGGGGTTGTCATGAGAATCTGATGAGGTAATATAGGGGGATGTCACTGTGTAAAGTTTTCATATAAATGTTCCTATTGTTATACCCCACAAAGCAGGTAAAGGACTACATAAAGGGGCGGATCTTGAAAGGGTAGGATATGCCCTATTCTGTCATCTTCAGGTTGGGATGAAGACTTTTATAAATATTTCTAAAGACAAGCATTAATGTTTGTGGATAACATAAGAGTATTATTATAGGAAGAAAATAATCTTTAAAAAGTACAGAGGATTAAGTTGAAATCATGTTCATGATTTTCTGCTCAGATTGGACATCAGATCATTCCTGGTACAAACAGTGGGAAGTTTACAGAGGGAAGATGTCCCCCCCACCCCCTATGAGTCACACAGTCCATGCCCTGCCCATGAGCTTCATAGTACACAGATCAGATTCTCTTTTTAATTTGCTGGATAAGTCATTCCTTCCCACTACACTGTGAAACCGCAGGTAGAGGAACGCAGGCAAGTCCAGGTTACCCCTGCTGTATCTTGCTTATACCCACAATGGCTGACAACAGGGGTTAGAAGAGAACCACCCAGTTTGTTAGTTACTTGAAACACAGGAGCAAACTGTTGCTCTCATCACCCTTCCCAAAGGGCTACAGAGGGAGCCAAGAAAGGCGAAAATTCACCACTGCCATTTCTGGGTTCTGCATCACCAAGTTAGTCCAGTTTCCTCTAACAAGTGCCAACATCTTAATTGCTATAATCCTTGCTTTGTAACGCAGGTGAATATGGTGGGATCCATGAATGCTCTGGGAGACAGCTAGCCAGGGTGAGGTGTAAATTGGCACTATTGTGACATGGTGCTGGTGAGAAAATAATTTAGCAGTATGTATCAAAAGTATTAAATATATGCATACTTCTTTGATCCAATAATATTAATGCTTGGACTCTTTCCTATAAAAACAACCTAAAATGCAAAAGTATTTTTATTTATTAAGATATTCGATGCAGTGCTCTTTTAATAGTAAACATTAGGACATAACCTGAATTTATTAACATAATAACATAAAGGTTATGAGCAGGGACTTTGTAGTCAGATAGCATTCGCTTAGCTCAAATCCTGGCTTAGTCATCAAAGAATTATGTGACCTTTTGTAAAGTACTTAATCTCTTTGAGTCTCAGTTTCCTCATCTGTAAAATGTGAATAATAACAATAACAATCTTAACTTATAGAATTGTCGTGAGGAATAAGTGGGATGATATATTTGTAAGGACTTAGTATAGTGCCTAGCATATAGCCGGTCCTCAATAAAATTAACTATTAGTATGTAAACTATAACATCACCTTTTTTCTGGATGGTTGTTAAAATGATGAGCAATATTACTTTTAAGTGTTTTCCTATATTTTTCAAAATTTTTATGTATTTCTTTGACGATGAGAAAAATCTTCATACTAAGATCCTAGCATACATCCAAAATTCTAGAATATACTGGTGGTGAAATTCTTTAGCCGAGGTTACCAAAAGAGGGACTTAGTGGTCTGGGAAACATGCCGAAGATGCAATCAGTAGTTCCTATGATGCCTAACTTTCAAACTAATCGTTATAGTCTAAACAGTGCTCTGTGGGCCACAGGTCACGTGAAATAAATTTAATGGCTCTGGGCAACATTTAAGAATTCTGAACTAGGATAGCATAAAATATAATAGAAAATAACAGAAGGTATCTCATGTAGTAAGAATAATTTACAAAACTTTTACTTTAGGAGTTTCGTGTGTGTGTGTGTGTGTGTGTGTGTATGTGTGTGTGTGTGTGTGTCTTGGGTTGTGATATGAACATATTTCTTTCTGAGGGTCTCAAAGTTTGAATCATTTATTGTAGCCCTCAATAAAGATGTTAGCTGGAACAATAAATAAAGGGGGAATTCCTAAATGTAGTCTTCTTGTAGGGTTGCAGGCCAACACTGATGACATTGAGTAGGCTCCCTTAATTCCTAAATTGGGTGATTGTCTTTCAATACATAACTCCCAATACGTAACTCTCCCAGAGTTGAAATAAAGGAACACAGGAGGGAATCTATGCGGAAATGCCATCAGATGTAAGGTAGGGCAGAATTGGGAAGTCGGGGGCTATTTCAACTCTGGCTTTTCTTCTGGTGTTGTAGCTGAGCTCGGTAGAAGCTGGAGGAGCCACAGCCTTCATCTATGCCAACTTTAGTGTGCCTGTGGTCAAGGTGAGTGGGGGTCTGGTCCTAATAGATGGTGTAAGAATGCAGAACTAACACGCTAGCTTTAATTCTGTCTTTGCTTGCAAGCTTATTCCTGGGAGTAGGGGATCAGAGGAGGCCTTTCCCTATTTCCTAGAATCAAAGATAATCCCTCAGTCTTCTTGGTGACCACATGTTATTGTGCCTCTATTTTTTATTTTGTTACATTTATATTACAAGTAGATAATTACATATCTGCCGTCCTTATTACAGTAGAACTTCTCAAAGGTAAGAACTGTTTTATTAACCTTCAGATCCTCTACTACAGCAGTCCCCAACCTTTTGGCACAAGGGACCGGTTCTCCTATGAGAATCTAATGCCTGATGATCTGAGGTGGAGCTGGGGTGGTGATGCTAGCACTGGGGAGCGGCTGCAAATATAAATAAAGCTTTGCTCATTTGCCCACTGCTCATCTCCTGCTATGCGGCCCAGTTCCTAACAGGCCAAAGGACTGGTACCAGTCCGTGGCCTGGAGGTTGGGGACCCCCACTCTACAGCAACTGGTCCTCTCAGTCATTTATTTAATAAACTCTGAGGGCTGGAGGCACTGAGGATATTGAGGAAAACTCACAGTCCTTGTCCTCCAGGAGCTCACAGAAAAGGTAACAGACAGTAGCAACATCTGGAAATAGAGGTATGAAATCAAGTGAGGCCCAGAGGAGGGCTAAGTGGTAAGAGGTTTGTTTAATGAATGAATATTTCCCCAGAATTTCAGATTGATCGATCAATCAATCAATCAGTCAAGGATGGCAGCCCATACTGAATTCAGGAATGAAATGAGGCAAATAAATGGGATCATGCCTGTAAAGCATTTAGCACAGCGCCAGGCACATCCTAAGCAATCAATAAGTAAATGCAGGTATCTATGAATACTCAGGGGGTTGGCCAGGGTTAAAGTAAGTCTATAGGAAGTATATAAGAAAAAAAGCTGGGTATGGAGATAAAAAAGAACATATAGAACTTGGATTCAAAACACCCAGGCTTGAGTCCTGACTTTGCTCATTTCTCAGTTGCATTATTTAAAGCCCTAACTCTCAACTTCTTTGCTGGGGAGGGTGATAATACTGGCTTCTTGGGGGATGTTATTAGTGAATGCCTAATGAAGGGTAAGCATCTGAATTAAGTTCTTAGTTGTATGAGGAATGTTTCTTTCACCTTATGGTTTTTGAGTACCTCTCCTCAGTAATCCAGTGACTCGTGGCACTTGTCACATTGTCTTGTCCTGGTCTGTTTTTATGTCTGTCTCTCCCACAAAACTGTGAGCTCCTGAGAGCAGAATTAGACATGATTTGTCTCGCATCTTCAGGGCCTAGAGCAGAGTAGGCCCCGAATAAATGATGTATGCATGAATGAATGAGTAAAGAGCAACTAACACTATGTTGTGCCGTTTTATGCATGCCTGGCCCCAGTCTGCATGGACAGTTTTCTTGTAAGGACATGCATGCATTTGTTTTCAGTCATGTGCTTCCAAAGACAGATCCTGGGTTGACCACCCTCCAACCTTGGACGGGGCCCTTTTGTTTTCAGAATGCAGCACTATTTTGGTGGAACCTGCATAGGAGTGGTGAAGGGGACAGTGACACACTTCATGCTGCCTGTCCAGTCCTGGTGGGAGATAAATGGGGTAAGGCCTGCCTTTCTGGGAGTAAACGGAAAGGGGGCAGATGGAAAATAGCATAGCCTTTTCATTCCAAAAGCTTTGTTACAATGCCACATTATATTGAGATGATCAGATCCTGGGCAGTTGTCCCCGACAGATTGGGAGCCCACAAAGGGAAGGAATCCCATCACAGAGCAGATTTCAGTAAAAGTTCATTGACCTGACCAGACAGTCCTTGATTCCTGAGCACAGCTGAAAAGGAATATAGTGCTGAGCCCCAGTCCTGTATTCCTAGATAAGAACCATCAGGTGCCTCCCCATGAGGAGATAGTCAAACAAGGGAAGAGATAAATAAGTAGGGGACATGTTCATGTCATATATGTGTCCAAAAGCACTTAGCTCCAAAGACAGAAAAAGTAGAAGAGGGACTCTCATACTGAGATGGACATTGCCCAGAGAAGCCACCCCTTTCCGCTCATTACTCTGGAATGGCACCGTGGGGGAGGTAGGCTTTTAGGAGCTGCATGAATGAAAGGTGAGTGGCTCTTAGAATCCACTGGTTCAAAAATTAATCTATAGTAGACAAGATCTGTCAGGGACTTTTTCCAGGGGACAGTATCCTCTTTGCTATTTATCTCTGCTGGAAATAACATGGTTTAGTCCATAGCAGGGCTGGGACCAGGGTGAGGCAAGTGAGTTGCCTGGTGCAGAATTTAAGGAGGCCGTTGCACAACCCTGTGAATGACTGCCACTGTCTACTCTTGAGCCTGCTCTCTTCTTTCTCCCCATTCTCTCCCAGTGGCCAACAAGTGGATACACGAGTATGGACAGGAATTCCGCAGACCCTGCAGCTCAAGCCCTGGAGACTAAGATGTTGGCAGACAGAACATTGGTGGAGTTCTGTGGCTTTCCAGAGAAGCCAGAAGCCAGAAGCTGGGGGAGGAGGGGAGAAAGGGGAGTAGCCTTCTGGAAGAGGGCCTTGTCAGCATTGCCTGTTCCTCACAGATGGGAGACAAGGAAGTGGGCTTTCCCAGAGAATCTACCTTGTTTATTCTCCAGCTCCGAGTCACAGTAGAGTGGACAATTCAAAGGACTGGGCAAGAAGGCTGGAGAGAGGTTTCTGGAGCTCACACACTCTGTTGGGAATAGGACATATCAACAGTCTCTGGGGTTTGGTTAGTGGGGCTTTTGCCATTCTGAACCTTGACCATAGGGGCCCAGGAGTGGCAATGAGGACACCTGTAGGCAGTCTAGCCTGGCTCCTATGGCTTTTTGCCCTTCTGCGCAACTTCTGCTGAAGACTGAGCAGAGAGTGTCTCTATATTGGGAGTGTACCTCATATGATACTTTTTAAGCAGAAAGCAATTTCTTTTTTTATGGGACGATTTTTTAATAATGCTACTTTTTAAATCGGGGACATGTTTTTTAATGCTACTTAATAGCATAAAAAATGTATACAAATCGTTTTTCACAACCGAGAATATTCTTGCGTTATAACATTGAGTGAAAAAAAGCAGAGCGTAAAATTTTTATGCCATAATCTCAACTCGGCTCACCTCCCACTGCTCCCCTCTCACTACATTCCAGACACAGGGCATTCTTTCTGTTCCTCAAAACCACCACGCTCATAGTCCTCAACATCATGCCCGCTTCTCAGGTCTTTGTATTTGCTGCTCCCTCGGATCCTCCCCTGGCCAGCTCTTCTCATCATTCCACTCTTGGCTCAGTGTCATTTCAGAGAGGCCTTCCCTGACCACCTGACCTTCCAGCCATTTTCTTTCACGTTTACTGATTTTATGTTCTTCATAACATGTTTCGCAAATTGAAATTACTTTAGTCATTTGTTTAATTGTGGCCAGTTGCCTTCCCTGCAGGGTGAGTGCTTTAAGACCCCACTGTACTTTGTAAATGCCTCTATTATAGCCCCCATCTCACTGAATTTCAGTATTTGTTTATTCGCCTGGCTGCTCACACTAGACTCTGCGCTCCTTATTCCTCTTGGTATCCCTAGAAGAAGGTCTGCTTTAAAATAAGTAGGCATTCAGCAAATATTTTAAGGTAAATGAATAAGAAGGCATCCTTTGAGCTGTGCTTTGAGGGGACACGTTGAATATTTATAGGCAGAGACCTAGTGAGGAGAAGCATTTCCCAGCAGGACTAGCAGGAGCTAAGGCAGCATTGATGAGTGACTGTAATATTTGAGCATTTATGCAAAGAGCACAGTCCAGGCGACTTGGCTCAAGTTCTTCAACAGGGATAAGAGTGTATGTCTTGCTCACAAAGAAGCCACACAGTTGGAGGACTGAGTGGTGGGATGCTGTGCTGCCTCCGCCCCATCCCTGCACAGTGCACTTCAGGATTCTGCTTCCCCGAGTTCTGTGGCCCCAAGGAAGGGGTCGTGATGTGCTGATAACCAGCTTTCTGCAGAGCCTCTGTGAGTACCTGGTTGCATCCCCAGTATTTCTGCTGAGTGCGCCAAGATTCTGGAAATCCTCTTAAGTAAATTATTGTCATGGAGGGGAGGAAAAATAATGTTCCCTTTACCCTTCAGTGTTCTCAGCTAAGACATCTGTAATAAAAGATAGGTTAATAAGAGAAAACAAACAGAAGTTTATTAACTTGTATATATCATGTATACATGGGAGACAGGGAAAATTAGTAACTCCTTGAGGTGGCTTAGAATTCAAGATTAAATACTACCTTAATAGG